CCCACCTAATGGCGGCCTCCAACCTAGCAGCGATGGCCTCCAACCTAAGAGCCTAATGGCGGCCTCCAACCTAGCCGCGATGGCCTCCAACCTAAGAGCGATGGCCTCCAACCCAATAGCGATGTTCTCCCACCTAATGGCGGCCTCCAACCTAGCAGCGATGGCCTCCAACCTAAGAGCGATGGCCTCCAAGCTACTAGCAATGTTCTCCCACCTAATGGCGGCCTCCAACCTAAGAGCGATGGCCTCCAACCCACTGGCGATGTTCTCCCCGTAATGGCGGCCTCCAACCTGGCAGCGATGGCCTCCAACCTAAGAGCGATGGCCTCCAACCTAAGAGCGATGGCCTCCAACCCAAGAGCGATGGCCTACAACCTACTAGCGATGTTCTCCCACCTAATGGCAGCCTCCAACCTGGCAGCGATGGCCTCCAACCTAAGAGCGATGGCCTCCAACCTAAGAGCGATGGCCTCCAACCTACTAGCGATGTTCTCCCACCTAATGGCGGCCTCCAACCTAGCAGCGATGGCCTCCAACCTAAGAGCGATGGCCTCCAACGTTCCAAGAAAACACGCCAAGAGGGCGAAGGAATTTAGAGGAATCTTAGAGCGTGAAACCTAGCCCGCTTTTGCAAAACGGCCAGGCAGGCACCCTGTCACCCACGTTGCGGGGCTTTGCGAAAATGAAGCCGGAAGGCCCAAAGAGAACAAACAGCCAGAAACTAAGAATTCCAGCCAGCAAGGGAAGCAAGGCCATTCACAGGACCCTTGCAATAAGAACTAAGTAAGGGCCAACAAAACCTTCAAAGAAGCACGTTTTCTCAATTCTTCCAACACGTGTTCCATCGTATTCAGCTCAGACTACGCCAACGAAAGCATCAGGCACAAGCAGTGTCACAGAATCGATGCGCACTCGGGTGAGTCTCGGAGTGTTTGTGTTCTTTCGGGACAGGGGTGGCAACCTTTTGCAGAAACATCCAAAAAAAGAAAAGGTTGCCCTCTTTTTCCATATATAGAGATATACAAAGATATATAGAAAACATTCCATGAGATATACAAATGTTTAGTTCTTCCTCTTGTTTCCCCCCCCGTCCTTGGCACCCGAAGGCTGCACTTCCAAGACTTGCAACACATATGCGCCAGTGGCTGACGCGATGGTCCCGCCCAGGTTGTGGCAGCCGGCCAGGAGGGCATACATTGTGGCCTGCGGAATCAGAACAGGGACGATGGAGTTTTACCTGTTCATGCGCAATTCACTTTCACGGCCTCCAAGCCAGGCGGGCACAACTGCGACAAAATCACCACCCCGGGCCTCAAGGTGACTTTTTGACACAAAAAATCATCCAAAATGGAACAAAGGGCATCGCTGGAAGCAGCGGAAAGCCCACCTGAAGGCCCAAAAACCATTGTGGACCGTTCTTCCCTTTTTTTGCTGCGGCCTCCAACCAACCTACTAGCAATGGCCTCCAACCTAATAGCGATGGCCTCCAAGCGAGAAGCGCCCAAAAACATCTTCTGGGTGACCTATCCAATGATCTCTTGAATCATGGAAGAAACTCCTGCATGCCTGCTCGCCTGAAGCAGTGCAACAACCTGTGGGCGCATCTAAGTATATATATAACCCTTCCCGGTACCCATCAAGCACTGGAATGGAATCTGAATTTTTGCCATCAACTTCATCACATCACGCAAACCACGCGTGAGTTTGTTGAACTCCAAGGATGGAAAGAGTTTTGCTGCTCTTGTCTTGCAATTGTCAAGGATTTCTGCGCTCCTTCTTCAAACCTGTGTCTCAATGTTACTCCCCCTTTCTGCTCAACCTCTGTGACGTCACAGCAATCGCCGGTATTACCTTTGTGGCTGGCTGGGTTATGGGCTAAATCATCATGAGACAACAACAAACCTGCAAAGCCGCGGGTAGAAAGAAGACGCAGCAGGTTCAAGAGCAACTTATAAAGAAAGACAGGAAGCTACTAATTGTTAGGATCCGGATGCAAAGGGCCTGGCCGCGGCGTTTGTAAGTTCTGGGCAGACTCAACAACACATCGAAAAATGATTAAAGCGTCTCTTCAATAAGGCGTGTTTAAAGTGGCCGCTTTCAAGAGACCTTTTACTCGTTATATTCAAAAGGCCTTTTACTAGCCCCTTGCTACTGGTAGTAGTAATGGCCTCCAACCTGATAGAGACGGCCTCCAACCTACTAGTCTTTCTAGACGCCTTTTCCTTTTCTTCCTTCGTCTTTATATTCCAAAAAAAGTGCCAACACGGTGCTGTCACACGTGCTGTCTGAGGAACATCCACTGCCATTGGCTCAAGATAGATGCAAAGACATTGCTCCCAAGAATAAAGGCGTGGTCGGGGATGCCCATTCGGACATTGAGGCGGAGGAAGAAAATCACATCAGAGATACTCAAAATGCAAATGGCAATGTTGCTCACCAGCAACAGCTGCCGGAAGGTCCACTCACTTGCATACTTCTGGTAAGTGTAGATGCCGATCAAGGAGCAAATAGATCCAGCCACTCCCAGAGCCGTGGTGTAAAACACCATAGAAAAATGAGGGCCTTCAAGACTGTCAACCAAACATGAGAAGCGAAACACCAGAATTCTTGGAGCTAGGTCTTAAGCTGCTTGTTAGGGTGACACGCTGGAAACATACGCGCCGTTGTGTTCTTCATGCGACGACCAGGAATGCAAAAAGGTGAATCGTTGACGGCCATTTGTTCAACCCACTGCCAATGCGAGGACGCAACCAGTAGCAGGGCTCCTTCTGCAGACCGCCGAAAAATGAAATGATAATGGGGCGAAACAATCAGTTCTATGAAGAATTGGAGAATGGAATGCCCCGCAAGCTCTCTCTTTGATGGGCTACACATTCCCGATTTGTCCTGTGTCATCCTGGGGCCGTGTCCGATGGCAGTGGCAGCACACGTAATGTAACGAACGTCAAAATCGAGACTGCACTGCTCTGGATGTTTGGATCTTTTCTACTTTGGATAAGATGGCTAGGAGTAGCCCATGCAGCTATCACAAGCAACAGGCTTAGCTACTTTATGCAAGGGCGCAGTTGAACAACTGTCGATGTGTGAAACGGTTTCTATAGTAGATGTTTGGGAAATGGCGCCTCCCTCAGTAGTCTGAAAAACAAAAATGCTGAGGAGGCCATCGCTCTCAGGTTGGAGGCCATAGCTCTCAGGTTGCGGCCTCCATCGCACTAGGGTGGAGGCCATCGTTACTAGGTTGGAGGCCATTGCTATTAGGTTGGAGGCCATTGCTAGCAGATATATAAATCTCGAATTCAGTTGAACAACTGCCAGGCCTTCAGGATATTGTTCTTTCGTGTCGGTATAGAAGTAGAAAGCCGCCCCACCCACTGAGAAGTTCACCGATGTCTGCAAGACAAAGAAGGTGTTGACTTTAGCAATTTCCGGGCGGAGCAAGACACTGAATGCCAAGAGAATCACAGCTGCAATGACTATGGAAGCAATGGCGTTTGCCCTGACATCCCGAAGCATCGTGCCAAAAAATGAAAGAACCAAGGTCGCAGCCAACATCAAAAAGCATAGAATGCATGCCTCCTTTTGTCGCAGGATATCCGCCCTGGCTGCCTGAACCTCTTGCGAAGACAAGCGTCGTTCTTGCATGTAGCCACGCAGGACCGGAACGATGACGATGCTCGCAGGCACCAATGTCACCAGGAAAGGTAGCTTTGGCCCAAAGCTGGCCATGATGGGCCCAATCCTCACAGAAACTTATAAAACTATGCCACCTCGGGTGACGTGAACACAAGATGCAAAAATATGTGTGTTGTATTATGTTGTATCATTGTATCATGTGCCTTATCCACAATGCACGTGCCCAGCATATCTCACAAAACGAACGTGTTTCATCGTTTCATCCGAGGCTCAAGAGAGTCGCCACAAGACCGCCCACCTGGAGGCCGAACCAGACGAAGGACATCAAGGCTGGTCCCTCTTTGGGTTTGGTCTGCATCTTCTCGGCATATTTGGCCTCGGTCAGAAGGTCCGTGGTCGAGAGTTGCAATTGGATGAGGAAGATGCAAAGGACCAGACTCGTGATGCCGAGGCGATCGCGTGGCACTGAACCGATACATGTCATGGCAGCAGCGCCCAGAACGGCCACAAGGAGGATATATGGAGATTTGTTGTAGCCGAAGATCGGAACGGCATCGCTTAAGAGCCCGATCATGGGCTTCATGGCCCATGGCAATTGGGTGACACCCCGGTAGATTTGCATTTGGGGTCCAGGCACCTTGTAGCTTCCATACAAGTATGCGATGCAAGGGGCGATGAACTCATTTACGAATCCTTTCATCAGATGCTGAGCAACGAACAGCATGAGCAGCAGCTCATGGCCGAAGCTCACTTCCAAGCGTTGCATGTAGGCACCCAGGCCACAACCATCTTTGGCAGTGACAAGCAAGGTCTGAGGCTTGGCTGGTCCATCCAATAATGGCGACTCTTCGTCTAAATCTCCTCGATCCTCTTCACCAAACGGCTCCGACGAAGACCCTGCTTTGCCTCCACGCTTCATGGCAACATGAGTAAGTAATGCAGGTTGGAACGTGGCATGTTCACTCGTCCGAGCCGAGCGCTGCAACCAAACAAGCGGAAGAACATCAGTCACGTCACGCCAAGCCGAAGGCTTTTGGAAGAATGTCACAACGTGGCGCCTCGGTTTTTCACGAGTCGAGACAAGAAATCGGTCTTGGAAGTCTTCCGTCGTTCGAGTCTCCTGAAACTTTTTGGCGGCCTTTTGTAAGAGCAAGTTTGTAGGTCTTTGTTGGCTCAGAGAGATAAAATTGCCGAAAAGTGCCTCATCCAATGTGTGCACTCAATATCTAAGCTGCTCTCATTGAAAAAGATTGGTGGACGCCAAGCTCACCATGTCGGTGGAAGCCAAGCTCATCTTGAAGCTGCAGCACCTGCATGGTGGCAAATCTATCCGAATCCTAAATATGGTACGGAACAGCTGTTTGCACTACACTGTTTTCCCGTAGATCCTGAGGCCAGCGCCATGCATCAAAAAGTGGAAGTATGGCACAAGCATCACGTGGAAAAGACCGTGTCCCCAACCTTGCATGGTTTCAGGTTTCAAGGGAGGTTCGAAACGATGGAAGCCACCGCTAGTACGTAGGTGAGGCCATGGCTAGTAGCTTGGAGGCCATCGCTAGCCGCTAGCAGCTTGGAGGCCATCACTAGTAGCTTGGAGGCCATCGCTAGCAGCTTGGAGGCCATCGCTAGCAGCTTGGAGGCCATGCTGGCAGCTTGGAGGCCATCGCTAGTTGTTTTGAGGCCATAGTCGTTTCCTTTTTTAACTCTGGTCCAACTACGCAGGGCGCCTCCCATCTTGGGATTCAGAGACTGGAAAACACATGCGAGGAACCAGGACCTCAAAGCTTGCAACCGTTCTCCACTAGGAACAATGAAATGTTTTTTGATTGAAATGCAGGGCTGCAAGGACCACACCCGGCAATTCCTGCGTAGTTGCAGTAATCACTGCGGACGAGAACCGGTAAGGTGTACAGGAAAACCTGCAAAAGGGGCCAGCGCAGGCGCAAAAAGCCCATTGTTGATCGAAGCGATGGCCTCCAACCTACTAGCGATGGCCTGAAACCTAGTAACGCCCTCAACCCTCCCAAACTCAAGACTCACAATGCTCAGTTGCAAGCACAGAAGGCCACCAAGTAGTTCTCGTGTCTGCCACCACGCCTGCACCAACCGCTTCTTTTGTGCCAAGTGGATGTATTTCCCTGCCTGCCTTTCACAAATCAAAGTGTGCAACAAAGAGACGATGCCTCACATGATGCGAAAATATGCAACTCTGACTGTTGGATACTTCCTGAGTGTCTTGCATCCAATGTTGATGATCGTTATGAAAATTGTGTATTCCAGGTGGCCATGCGATTCGGCCCAACCGAAAGCCACACAACCTTGTGCCCAGGTGATTCCGTGAAAGGCATGACGCAGTGAAAACTGAACACATGTTGTGCTTTCCAAAGCCTAGCGACACAAGTGTATGGCAATCAAGTCTGCCGTTCGAAACGGTGTGCAGAGTACATCATATCCAGGTGCCCTCGGCAAATTTGCGTGAGGTCGCCAGAACTTTGCATCATGGCAAAACTGGAAATCGCACGCATTCTCTTGAAAATGTTGAGTGGCCCATCATAGACAGCGTTGGAAAGGTGATATGCCATGCTGATGGGGCAGTGAAATATGGCCGCGTATGCCAATGCCCACACACCTGGAGAAAAACAGAGGGCAAACAAAACTTGTCCATTTTCCTTCTTGTTGTTCTTCCTGTTTGCTACCTGCCTTGCGGAAACGCTGCCGATGCTGCAATGTCAGGCGCTCGAAAATAACCATGGAGTGCTGGAAGCAACATTGTGAGCGCACTGAACACCTGAAGGAGGGGAAAAACAGAATCGATGGCCCCCAACCCAATAGTTTCCAACCTAGAAGCGATGGCCTCCAACCTACTAGCGATGGCATCCAACCTAAGAGCGATGGCATCCAACC